TTCAAACGTTCATGTTGTTGACGTTTCTAACAGAACCCAACAAAGTGATCCTCCCGAACACTTAGTTGAACACACAAAATAAGATGATCACCCTATGTTACCGAGAACACCCTCACGATTCACCATTCAAAAAAATAAAATCAAACTCACAGAAATTGATTTGAACTCAAAAGAATAACTCCCAACACTTCTTTTTTCAAAAATAATAATAAAAGATATGAATCAATATTTCTTCGTTCGCATCACCACGCTTTTTCTGTCTTGTAAACATATGGTAAGTCCAGAGTGACTTAGCTGCCAAGCCTTGTTCTACAAGGTAAGTTTCTTGATTGATCTGCTGCTATAAATTTATAGAAGATTTGTTTCGCAGCTTGACTCTCCTCATAAGGCAAGTGTTGATGATAAGTATTTCCATCCATCCTGCACAATTGATAAAAATATAATAAGTGAATAATATTGGGAAAATTAATTCAAAAGGATAATGTATAAACACCCTTCCGCTTTTCAATCACCACAGTTTCAGGGACTAATGAAGGTTTGTCGATTCACTGCCAATCATTGAAACTTACAAGCTCACTAGATTTACTCAGTGATAGACGGAAATGGGCTTTGGACTCTAAGGGAGATTTTTTTTGTGAGTGGCACCTACTCAAGTTTGATAAGGCAGAAGGTTCAGAATGGAATTTTGAAGAAGGAAGTACATCAACTGAGAAGGACAAGAAAGTGAGGAGAAGAAGTTGGGCCTTAAAGATTAAAAATAACCTGTAATATTTCTTGTGGAAATGTTACAGTAACACTTTGCCTTCAAGCCTAAATCAGAAATCCAGGGGAATTCAAATTGATTTATTATGTACGAGTTGTGGAGAGGCTATGGAAAATACAGAACATATCCTTTTTCACTGTCCAAGAGCACGAAAGGTCTGGAAACCGTCACCTGTAACTTGGGATTATCAAGGGAATCTAGTAGCTTTAAAATTTGGTGGTGAATGGTGTGTTCCTTGGATAGATCAGTTGTTTCTCAAGATAGAATCCAACTCACCACTTGTATATTATGGTGGTTGTGGAACTCCATAAATCTCTGGAAATTGCAAAACTCACTTATGCCAGAAATTGAAGTGGTAAAAGTTTCCATGATGGACTGGATTGAATTTGATGCTTCTCGGAGTTGTCACTCTTGATTGACAGAGCTGGTGTGTTCCTATGCCTTTGGTTGGTTCAGTGGCATTATGGCCTTCTGTTGTTGAATATGATAGCTTTCTTGTTCTCATATTTGTGTTCCTCAAGTGGTGTTTGTTTATCTGCTAAAGGTCTCAGCAATTAGTAGCTACATTTGGTTTGTTTTTCTATTTTTTTTTTGGTCTGATACTGTTGTTGGTGTTGTTTGGTCTTTCATGCTTCTTGTTGGCAGGGTGTGGTTTGTATTTTTCTGTTTCTGCTATTTGGTTATCTAGGGCACCCTTAGTGTGTTCCTCTTTCGGTTGTCATTTGTATGGGATCAGTTGATTCCCCCGTTTGTAGAACACTATTTTTTTGTGCTATGAGATATCTTTCTGCCGTTTTTTTTTTAAAAAAAATACTTAATTACTATATTTTTAAGTATCGACACTCAACTCAAAATTAAATTAGATTTCCACTCAATTAATTATTTACACTTATAATTCATTTTATACAATATATTAAATGCAATCTAAAAAAACTTTAATGCTCATAAAGAGAAGAATACGTCTTAGCTCTGGGTGATTTGGATAAATGTGAAAAATAAATAACAAAGGTGCTTCAGGAAGATAGATGGAAATGGCCCATCTACTAGGATTTGACAGGATCCTTGGATACCAGGCTCAAGAAAAGGTATTCCTACTGGCAGAACTGCTCATCACCTAGATATACAATATGTTTGGGAGCTTCTGGAAGCTGGTGGATGGAGGTGGGACACTGATTTGGTGAAGAGAACTTCTAGTGAAGAAGACAACTAGGCCATATTGCAAATCAGTTCTTTGAATCCAACTAAAGCTGACAAGTGGACATGGGATGAGGATGCCAAAGGAGATTTTGTGGTTGCAAAAGCATACTCCAAGTTAGTTGAAGAAACTTTCAGGAACATGGATGTGGCAGAGGGTAGTACTCAAGCTCTCCTTAACAAGAAGATCAGGCTGAGGAGTTGGTAACTTCACATCAAGGGCAAACTCAAGCACTTTGTATGGAGAAGCTACTCTAATGCAGTACTTGTTAAAGATAACCTGGGTAGGTGGGGCATGGATATAGATAGAATATGTCAGAGATGTGGAGAGGTAGTGGAATCTATAAAACATCTAATTTTCAGGTGTAAAACAAATATGCAGGTGTGGAAGATTGCTCCTATCACAAGGGGATTCAGTCAAGAAAACACAAACAGCTTCAAGGTATGGTGGCAGAATGTGTGTTCAGTGAAAAAAAAAATAAAATATCAGAGGCTTGTATACAACTGACAACATACATTCTATGGTGGTATGGAAGGCCAAAACTTGTAGATATTTAAAGGAGAATGGCTACAAGAGGTACAGATTGAGAAGGCTGCCAGAAAAGATTGGCAAGAGTTCAGTTATCAAGCAAGCAGAAGGCTTTGAGAGAAGCAGGTGAGGGGGTCTAGGTCCATTTGTGGTTTCAGTAGACACTCACTTGCAGTATCAAAAGCTTTCTTTGCGGAAGCGAATAAATAAAAATGAACTTTCAGTAGAGTGTCACACTCTCCCTCAGAACTCTTTCATTAAGTAAGTGTTTGGCCAACAAGTACAAATATAATTTACATGCATAGACTCCCTCTAAGCTAACCTACTTTGTACTCCACCTACCTAACTACTTTTCTAGCCACGGTGTGGACTTACGCGACACGTATGGATCCCTCCAAGCAATATGAAGATGCTCGACCCAAGTACCAGGTGACACAGAAAATAAAAACTGACAGCTCGAACTACCAGCAAAGAACCAACATGTTGGAATCCGATCACTCAATAAAATCTAAACAAAAACTCACGAGCTCTCAATTAATAAAACTCTAAAACCTTTAAGTGAATAATGCAATCGCTCATTCTCTACCAGAACTCGTGAAAGTATTATATATACAACTATATACGGCATGTAGGTTCATCAGAAATGTAGAATTTTCAAATTTACATGATCTTCTGTGCAACTTTTGGAAACTAATCTTCATGCTTTGTAAATCATGATGCTCGAATATCTTGCCTAAATCTTCCAGATTTAACCGTCTCTTTCTCATTTCAATCCTGAGAACTTTCTTTCCTTATTTCCGTGCGAACCTTCGGAAATATCATCTTGCCGATTTCTTTCATTTTCTTGCTCGATTTTCCTACTCTCTTTCTCAAGATTTCAGCTCCAAAATCTCACAAGAATATCTTCCTTTTATCATCTTTGCTCTTCCTTTACCTACAAGTAAAAGAAGATAATTAAATAAATACCATATATAGTAAGAGGATATCAACTATAAGAAAATATAATATATAAAATCTCCTAATCGATCTAATATATTTCATTTACCTACAAGCTAAAGGAAGATAATTAAATCTACATACACAATAAGAGAATAATTAATGTATGGAAAATAAGATGAAAAGATCTTCCTTTTCTCTTCAGGCATTAATTCCATGATACATATTTCAAGAAACAGAAATATGATAAATAAATATTATTTTCGAGTAATGTCAAAATAAATTTTCTTAAAGTAATTATATTAAACCATAATTAATGCTCTAAAAAATATTATAAATATCCAATATATTTATAGTATTTTCAAGCTGAGTTACTTTTGAACTGAAATTACAACAAAGAATTTGTCTTGTCATTTAGACTTAACAAATTAGGAAATTATATAAGAGGATATGGAGTAGCATATTGCTCAATTATTTACATCACTTTTTCCCCCCTCGTTTTCGTTTCCGCTTAGATTTTACCACCCAATTCTTGTGTTGCCTTTGTGTTGTTGTACCTCTGTCTGTGTTTTTTGTTAACAGGTTCGATGAATCTCGTGTGAGTTCGTTTTCCCTTTTCTATGCCGTATTGTTTGTAGAAGCTCTATGCATACTGTATCGACAGTTACCTGAGTAGATATATAATTCCTCTCCATTAATACAATACAATCAACCGCTGTATACGACTTTTGCTTCTGCAGGAAACATTAATGAATCATAGCTACCATACAATTTCCGATTCAAGCTATTGGTATGTGGATTTGTTAAACCTTCTGAAATAGCTTTTTTTCCCTTTTTGGGAAGATATGGTATTCGCGTTGATTTTAATTCTGTGCGCTTCTCTCACAGAGTAACTGATCCAAGAGAATGCGTATTTCTCAAATTGTCAGTATGGGCACACATGGGGTTTAGTGTTTTCTGGGCAGAGTCCGAATTACAGAGTAATTTGTGCTGTACGTAGACATTTGGGTTTGTATATTCTTTGAGGTGAAGTCAGGATTTCATCTTGATTCTTTTGGTGGTGGAAATTTTGATACCCATAAGATAATTTTTCCTGTACACCCGGCTGTTAGACTCGATTAAGGGAAGGTTGTTAGAATGGAAGAAGGTAAAGATACTGTTCCAGTAACCAGGACAAGCCCAGCTAGGGTTTTGCCCAAAAGGCTGCTTCATATGCTTGTACTGTTTCTGGTCATGTGTTTCACCTTCTCTGTTATTAGCATCTACATAGTTAGGTACTTTAGAGTTAGTAGCATAGTTACACCTCGGACTCCTACCTTGTTGGCCTGTAATACAGAACTTAAGAATCTTGAGCAGTGGATCAAGCCCCCATCTGATTTGATGCACGGGATGAACGATAAGGAGTTGTTTTGGAGAGCGTCATTGGTGCCGCGCGTGAAAAAATATCCGTTCAAAAGGGTCCCGAAGATCGCGTTCATGTTCTTGACAAAAGGGCCTTTGCCTTTGGCTTCCCTTTGGGAGAGGTTTTTTAAGGGAAATGACGGGCTTTATTCGATTTACATTCATGCTTTACCTTCTTACAGAGCTGACTTCCCCACCTCGTCAGTGTTTTACAAGAGGCAGATACCGAGCCAGGTACATTGGAGTTCTTTAGAATGTGGATTTTGAATAATAAGGTTTCAAACCCATATGTAGCTCTTTGGTTTCTTTTGTCCGATTTATTCATTCCTTGGTCTATATGGTGAATCTGCATCAGTTGGTGGTTATGACTAATTGTACGTCTATGGTACTAAATAGTTTTGGTCAATGGTGGACACTAATTATTGATAGTTTGATCTTCCTTTTCTTTTTCCCTTGTTTCATGTTAATTGAATCGCCTGCTGGGGCAGATCATTGTTGCTTTCATTAGCTGGCTGGAAGATACTTGTTTTGCCACTTTTTAGGCTATCTATAAAAATTGATGGCATGAACTTTGACCATCCCAGCCTGCTAAGCTCCAAGAGATTTAAGGCCTTAAAAGAAACTAAAAGAAAAGGAAAAGTAAAAAGGTAGTATATTGCAAGGAATTTGGTGTAAAGGTGAAAAAGGAAATAAAGCTTTTGAGACTAGTTGAGACATGGTGTGATTGGTGAAGATTTGGTTGAGATATACATGATTTTTTTTTTTTCTTTTTTTTTTGGTGTTTTAACATAACAGGTGTCAGAATGGGGAAAGATGAGCATGTGTGACGCGGAGAGACGTCTGTTGGCAAACGCCCTTCTCGACATATCGAACGAGCGCTTCGTGCTGCTCTCTGAGTCGTGTATCCCCCTCTACAATTTTACCACAGTCTACAACTACATCACAGGCTCCAAACACAGCTTCACAGGCGCGTTTGACGACCCTGGGCCGTACGGGCGGGGCCGCTACCGCCCAGAGATGCTACCCGAGGTCGACATCTCCGAGTGGCGCAAGGGCTCGCAATGGTTCGAAGTCACCCGAGAGCTCGCGCTGTACATCATCGAGGACAAGAAATTCTACCCAAAATTTGCCCAGTTTTGCAAGCCGGCATGCTACGTGGACGAGCACTACTTCCCGACCATGCTCACCATCAGGGCCGGGGGCTCTTTGGCCAACAGAAGCCTCACGTGGGCTGACTGGTCAAGGGGTGGTGCCCATCCGGCCACCTTTGGAGGCCCAGACATCACGGAGGAGTTGTTTGAGAGAGTGTTTGAGGGCCATAAATGTTCGTATAATAGTGCGACGACTTCTGTGTGTTTCCTTTTCGCGAGGAAGTTCTCTCCAAGCGCGTTGGAGGCGCTGTTCTTGGTGGCGCCCAAATATTTGGGATATTAGGTTCTTGGGTTTTGTTTTGTTGTGATTATTTTGAGGAAGGAAAGAACGAAAAGAATGTGGTGTAGAAGAGTGAAGGTTGAAAACTTGAAACGGACGCATTTTGTTGTTTTATTCAAAATAGTTTCGGGTATACGACTAACAGAGTTATGAGGTTTTGATTTTGCATTCAATGTACAATACTGAAGCATTTGCAAATTTGTGATAGTGTCATATATGACGGCTCTCTCTTTTTCATTTTAATTGGCCACACAACATACGTCTGGGTAGACTTGGCCAACGGGCCGAGGCCCGGCCCGGGCTGTCGGGCCTCAACTACATTGCACGAGACCGGCCCACCGAGAACCAAGGGCCGGTTCCGGGCTGGGTTGCCAGTTCGGTGGTTCGGATTTTTATTTTTTATTTTTTTCCCACTTGACAAAAAAAGAAATAAAAAAAAAAAATAAAAGGCGTATTGTAAAAATCGAGCAACAAATGTGAGTCGAGTAACATTCTTCACTATCTCTCTCTTACCGAAACCAAAAAACCTCCAATTTCTTTGCCCTAAATCTGCGATTTTCCTGCCTTCTCCGGCGGGACGCCGACCGTTTTGGCGGTAGATGGCCTATGGATGCACGACTCTCTCGGTGGTATCGATTTCCGTTCGCTTGAGCTGGCGGGGTGGGCGCGGTCCAAGAGGTTTCGGCATCCTTCCCGGCCGCCTCTTCAGGCTGGTGGTCCATCAATCTCTCGGGTGGTGCGGAGGTCGCCGATGCTTCTGTTGGGATGGGTGGTGGCTCCGACGGCTGGATTGCTGTGGTCGGTCGGAGTAGAGGTAATTTGACCCTTTCCCCTCTTTTCCTTTAGTCTCCGGTTCGTGGGTCGAAGGTGCTGCTGGCGCGTCGAGTTGAGATCCGTGGTGTGGGCAGAACTCGGAGCAATGGTCGTGAGTTGGGGTTTGGTTCAGTTTCCTCCGGCTGAGGTGGGGTCGGCTACTCGGGTAGGGGCGAGTTTCTAGGGCCTAATTCCAGTTAGGTGCGAAAGTTTCAGTTTCTGGTGTTGGAGTCTAAGGCGAGTTCTGGTCCGTATGGGTGGTCGGCCATTGATATTACTGTCGTGATTGCTTGGCGTGTTCCCGGCTGTAAGAAGGGCTTTTCCGTTTGTCTTTGTGTTGTCTTATGTGTTTGTGTTTGTAGTTTTGTTGTGTTGGTGTGTTTATTTTGTCTCGTTTGTGTCGGTGTTTTGTTTTCTTCTCCCTTGGAGGAGCGTGTTATTCTCCTGTGGAGAGTTAGTGTTATTCTCCTGTTAGGAGTTAGTGTCATTCTCCTGTGGGGAGTTTCTATTTTTTTTTTTCGTGATGTAGTGTGTGTTGTGGCTTCTAGGCTGGCCTCCATGAGCAGCTCCTATTCCGGTTGTCCATTGGCTGTAATTATGTGTTTTTCGTTTAATGAATCCATCGTTTCAGGAAAAAAAAAAGATCGAGCAACAACTCCAAGTATTAACACAAATTCGTTTGTATATCTATTTCCCGCATTGTAAAACTCCACCAAGATTGATTGTTTTAGGAAAGCCATTGAAGAGGAGGTGAATGATAAGGTGTTATCTTGGGACCAGACATTATCGGATTACATTGATTTGGCAGAGAGGTATCTCTGCTTTCCGCAGCCTTTGTCGGGGTACAGGTTCTCAAGATGATGCCCTCGACCGACCAAGGTTGCTGAAACCAGAGATACTTTCTGCCAAATCAATATAATCTGACACCATCTAGTTCGAACATGACACCTTATCATTCACTTCCTCCTCTATAGCTATCCCATAACAGACAGTCTTGGTGTGGTTCTAGAATGCTGGAAACAGATACATACAGATTTGGGTTAATACTTGATCGTCTTTATGAAGACTTACTTCACATAAGTTAATTTATCAGTATCTTGAGTTTCATCAATGTCATCATGCACTCCGATTCCAATACACAGTCTCGAGTAATATCGCCGTTCTTTTTGGAATGGCCTAAAGCACGTTACTTAATGGAAGTTGTCCATGTTATCATCATTGGTGTACAAGATGTTTATATCATCATCACACAGTTCCTTAAGGGTACAAATTTTTTCACAGATCACTAGAACTGTTGGATAGTGGTATCAATCTAATGTCAAGTGTTGATGACAACTGCAAGTTGACCATTACATTATTTTGCATTCTTGTCCTCAGAATTGAGTAAGAATTCAGATGATAACTAAGTATCTATAAGCATTCTCTTGTTTGTGATATTGCAGACATAATTTAAAGTTCAAATCATATTACATAATGAAGAATATTGAACAACAGCGGGTCAGCTGAACAGGGAGCAGCGGTCGCGGCTTCGCCGGAGAAATGTCTTCAGATAAAAGTCGTCGGCGCTCCTCGGCAAGGCTATCCCGATGGTACCGTCGGATTGAAGCTGTTCGCCGAAAATCAACGATAACTGAAGAAGAAGACCGGAGTTGACCACCATTTTTTGTTAGATCCAAGAACTTTGACTGACGAATTGACGGCCTTCCTGGAGAATTTTTTCTCGAAATTTTAAGGGCAGAACAAGCACAAGGAGAGCTTTGCGATGGTGTAAGAATTTTTCAGATCAGACAACTTTGGACGGCGGGCGGCGGCGGCGGGCGGCGAACGACGGCGTTGTAACGCCCCATTTTATTTTAAAGGATTTACCGAATAAATTTACAAAAAAACAGATTTTTTTTTTAAAATCAATTCAGAATTTAAAACTCATCGGTAGCTACTTAACTATTGACAACACTTAAAAAATTACGACAAATAATTAAATTCTACACATGCATAAGCCAACACTTATAAATATAAACTAACACATTTATAAGTCTCAACGTCATTCAAAAAGCTTAACATAAATCCATGGTTTCAAGCGGAAGTATAAATAATCCAGAATGAAAGCAGTTAATTTGTCATAAATAAAAATAAAATAAGCGGAAGCAAAAGACACATCCAATCAATGACCACCATCTCGCTCGTCTTTATGCCACCGCCTCCAGCTCATCTCAACCTAAAGAAGGAAGAGAAAACAACAACAGAAAACAAATAATGGGGGTGAGCATAACCAACAAGCTCACCATTATCGCACAGTTATCTATTATAAAGCATTTTAAAACATTTTCACAGTATGAATAGAATCCAAGGTCTGAACTCCCTACTCAGCCCCATCGCAAACCTCCTATGTACATACAACAACCTTCCGGATACAACGGCATGGAAGTAACTAGAAACCTTCCCACCCCCAGGTACAATGGTTCGTAGGATCCTTTCTAGGAGACAGTGGAGATGTTTTTCCCCTTCCGGGTACAACGGCTTGGGGCGTCTCCTCCTGGATACAACGGGCAGGTGACCTCCCACTGTTTTCGCATTCATCAAAGGCACTATTGTATGGGACACCTAGACTAGGGTTCTCATACATACAACAAATTTTCAAACGAAGCATTATATGAATAAAGAGTGCAATATTTATGGAATACATCACAAATGTACCCACCTGTTTGCAGCGACAAAACACAATCACGATTCTTGAAGGCAGGGTGAGGTCAACAGCTCTAGACACCTACATAAGTCCAGATACTAAAGTCAACGCTTTATCTAGACCTAAGTAGAAAATCACAAATTTGACTTAGCCGAACTTGATTCGACTAAGTGGTTCGTTAAGTCTTGTGGATATTGGAACTCTAGGATTCACCAAACCACTTATTGGGGATCACACAATTTCAAATAAATGACAATCACAACAAGTCACGAGGAATCTCATAACAACTTGGTTACCAACACTTAACAATATTTACTATTTGAAAATAATGGCCAAGATTTACACATGTTTAAGAAGGTCTAGCAAACCAATGAGCTAAGTTCTGGAAATTTAACAACAAATTCACCTCCTAATACTTAGAAAAACCACCAAGTTTCAGCCCCAAATTCCTTATACACAATTTTATAAAATTCATACAAGTTAACAACAAAAACAAACTTAAATTCACATCCAGACTAAATGAATGATTCAGGAGTTGACATTTTAACACCATAAACTAAAGCATGTGAATGATAATATATAAAAATTTTAGCCATTAACATCAACTACACGAATTTTAAAAATTCATACAAGTTTCTGCAATTTTCAAATTTTAATTAAAATCGAACCAATTTGAACTTTAAAAATTCCAATCTTTTTACAACATGAAACTCCGCATGAAACAAGCACTTCAGCCAAAAATAAAAAATTTTCAGCAACTGACCATTTTATCACAATTAAAACAACTTTCAGCATAATACTTAAATAAATTATTTACCCTATCAATCTTAGTCTAAAAATTCTAAACATTTTACACAGAATCTAATCAGACAGAGAGACAACATACTAAAATTTCATAAATTCTGGAGCACAACTCAAATTTTCAGGCAATTAATACTATTCTGCCCAGAAATTACTTTAATTAATTAAAATAGCTACAAGCCAAATATAATTACGAAATTTTTACACAGCCTACTAATTAACAAAGGATCATGCAGTTCAAATTTCACGGCATTCGGACAATCGTGCAATTTATAATAAATTTTACACATAAAACAGTAATTACAAACTTCAGAAATTCATATCTCCCACTTTACAAATCGAAACGACACAAGGTCAGAACCATTGTGTCCATGACGATCCTAAGTTCCAAAATCCACAGCATCTTAACGTTTTTAACGAGTTCTCGTTTGATTCACACGAACCGATGGAATTCACATAAAATCATGACATTAAATAATATCAATAAGGGTAAAATACTTTTTCCCATCCGAACTATCACGGTTTTGGCGCATCACCATATAAACTATTTTTTATTACAAACCACCATATGAACTATACGAGTTTGTCAATGTGCCCCCTAAACCGAGTATAAAAGTGGTTTTGACTAAAAAAGGTTGTTTTAATGGTATTTTAGTAATTTCACACATTTTTCAGAAAATAAAAAAACAAAAATGAAAAAATGAAT